TAAACATTTACTGAACAAATGAATGAATGTGTTGGTCTTCCATAGTTATCACTGGCATCGCATCTCTGGCCTCACCCTGGGGGCCAAATGTGCCTGGTTGGTGAGCAGTATCTGGAAAACACAGGAGCGGAGGCTGCAATGTGTTCTCAATATCCTCATCGCTGATGACATTTACTCAGTCACAGCTGTGGTACAAAGGAACAAAAGGTTCTTGCCCTGTGGACTTGCAGCTGAAATGACAGAAAACGAAACAAGCAATGGGCAGTTTCTCTGTGCGTATGTGTTTTATTGTGCTAAGCCTCAGAGAAGCAACAATGTTCTGTATTTACTACAAGAACAGTAAAAATGATCATATTCCATTTCACAAAGAAGTAAATGCAAACCCTGAGACATGCAGGGACTGGTCTAGAGGGCAGAATGGTGTTGGCAGCCTAGCCAGAGCACCCATCTTCTCTTTGTACTTTGTACAGCTGTTTCCACGCTCTTCAGTCTGGGCTGGCATTTGCTTCCTTGATTTCATACTGACTGTGACTCTGCGGGCACAGCTTGCGTCTCCAGTTGAGGAGTGAATTTTTTTTTAATGGAATTTGAAAGAGAGAAGGTTGCAAGTGGCAAGCAGGCCAAGGGAGATGGCGTTATACCTAGTTGGCTTTTTTTTTAAATTGTGGTTTGTGTGAAAGTTTACAGAGCAAATTGATGGTGGTGGATGTGCCGTGGAGTCAGTTCCGACTCATAGTGACCCTGTATAGGGTTTCCCATAAATCTTTATGGAACAGAAAGTCTCACCTTTCTCTCGTGGAGCCACTGGTAGATTTGAATTGCTGACTTTTCGGTTAGCAGCTCATTTTGTAATCCACTACGCTGCCAGAGCTCCTCACCGAGCAAATCATTTCTGCATTTAACAGTTTATACACATATTGTTTCATGATGTTAGCTGCAGTCTCCTCAATTTATAGTACTCTTCCCACTTCCTCCTTGGGTTCTCCGTTTCTGTTTACCCATCTCTCCTATCCCCTCCTGCCATCTGAACTTTTGTTTTGGGTAAATGCTACCCTTTTAGTCTCATTTGATTGATTGTTGTGAGGAACACTGTTTGTTAGGAGTGTTATTGTTTAGTTTATAGGTCTGTCTACTGTTTGACTGAAAGGTGATCACCAGGAGTGAGTTTAGTTCCAGGTTTGAAGGTATGTAAAGGCCATAGTCTCGGGAGTTCCACAAGATTCTGTCAGACAAATAAGTCTGGTCTTTTTTATGATTTTGAATTTTGTTCTACATTTGTCTCTCACTTTGTCTATGACTTAACATTTGATCTTTATCATAGTGGCTGGTAGTGGTGGTCAGGCACCATCCAGTTCTTCTGGTTTCAGGCTAGTCAAGGGTCATGTGATTCATTAGTCCTTTGGACTAATTGTTCCTTTGATTCTTTGTTTTTCTTTACTCTTCTCTGCTCCAGAAAGGAAGAGCTAATTAGTCGTATTTTAGATAAACCTCCTGAAAGCTTTTAAGATCCCAATCACTACTAAGTAGCATGTAGAATATTTTCTCTGTGGACTATCTTATGCCAGTGTGATCTGAATGTGAAAGTTGGACAGTTAATAAGAAAGACTGTAGGAGAATTGATGCATTTGAGCTATGGTGTTGGAGGAGAATATTAAAAGTACCATAGACTGCTAAAGAACAAACAGATCTGTGTTGGAGGAAGTACAGCCAGAATGTTCCCTGGGAGCCAGAATGGCCCAGACTTCATCTCTCATACTTTGGACATATTGTCAGGAGGGACCAGTCCCTGGAGAAGGATATCATGTTTGGTAAAATTGGAGGGTTGGAGAAAAAGAGGA